TATTTGTTGAAATAAGTTTTCAATTTCTTGCTCTTCCTCTTCTCCTTCTGGCACCCCTATGATCTGGATGTTGGAACATTTAAAGTCATCCCAGTGGTTCCTAAGCCTCTCCTCATTTTTTGAATTCTTATTTCTTCATTCTGTTCTGATTGAATGTTTCTTTCTTCCTTCTGGTCCACACCGGTGATTTGAGTCCTGGTTTCCTTCCTGTCACTGTTGGTTCCCTGTACATTTTCCTTTATTTCAATTAGCATAGCCTTCATTTTTTCCTCTAATTTGCGACCATATTCAGTCAATTCTGTGAGCATCCTGATTACCAATGTTTTGAATTGTGCCTCTGATAGATTGGCTATCTCTTCATCATCACTTAGTGGTATTTTTTTGTAGAGATTTGATCTGTTCTTTCATTTGGGCCATTCTTTTGTCTTGATGCACCTGTTATGTAGTAAGGGGCAGAGCCTTAGATGTTCACCAGGGTGGGGCAACCCACATCACTGTGTTGTGACACAGTATGTGGAGGAGGGGTCCGAGAGGGAACAACACTGCTTGCTCCATTCTCTGCTGGTTTTCAGTCACTTCCTATGCTACTCACAATCAAAGTGGGCCCTTCTGATGCTGATTCCTGAATGGGTGGGTTTGTGTATGTTCTAGGACCCTGTGGGTCTCTCCAGTTGAACTCTCCTAAGAGGCTGGGAGTTTCTCTGCTGCTGCCTCAACCCCTACAGATGTTTTCAGTCAGAGACTTTGAGGCTTTATTTCCCCACACTGGAACCCTGGGTTGCGTGTCCTATCTCTGCTCCCCAGTTGTTTTTCCCAGTTAATTTGCATACAAATGTGGGACGGCCCAGTCTACAAGCTGCCACCTCTTCCAGTCCTCCAGTCATTGCCTTGCCATGACTCCTCTCTGCCTGGCTGCTGCTCTCTGCCCCTCCTAGTGGTCTGGATGAATGTTTCTTCTTTAACTTCTTGTTTGCTGGACTTCCACACAGTTTGATTTCCTGTCAGCTCTGTGGTTTTTTTTTTTCAATTTGTGTTTGACCTTGTTTTTGTTTTGTGAGGAGGCACAGTGCATCTACCTACACCTCCATCTTGGCCAGAAGTCCAGTCATTAGTCTTAGTGTGTCTTCTTTGTAAATACTCTGCTTTTTCTCTCTAGTTGACAAAATGAGAGACTGAGCAGCTTTGTGCAGTTTCACTGTTATGTGTCTCTAATTAATTCTCCATCATTTGCTCTTTAAATATTGCCTCCTCTACATTCTTCTCTCCTCTTTGTGATTCAGATTTTACATGTGTTAGACTTTTCATTTCAACCTCCATGTCTCTTAGCCTCCTGAGACTTAGATTAAATTCTTCCATTACATTTTTGTAAATGTTCCATGGATCTGTCTTTCTTAGTGTTCACTGTGACTCTTCATTCACCTTATTCTTTCTTCTCATTTTTCACCTCATCATCACTCCTCACTGTTCACAGAGTCTACCCAGCCTTCTAGGCCCACTTCACACCCTCCTGTGTTACTTCTACAAAGCCTGTCCTGACTTCCATAGGCCTCATTAGTCTCCTCCTTCTTGTGTGTTTCACAGCACTTAACTATCCTCTTCATGAGACAGCATGGTATAGATCAAAGAGCACTGGACTTGGAGTCTGAGGACCTGAGTTCAAATTATAGCTCCACCACTTAATAGCTCTGTGACCTTGGGTAAGTCACTGCTCTTGTTGACCCTCAGTGTCTTCAGTTATGAACTGATGATGGTAGGCTCATTAGGAAGACTGATGAGATGAGGGCCACATGGTGTCCAGATGGTACCCAGTTCTAGCTCTGGCATAAAGCTTCTCATGTGACTCTCACTGGGTCCTTTTGCCTTTCTGCCTCAAAATGGGAGCCATTTCTGGCAGCCCAGTGGCATGGAAGCTGGATTTCAGTGCAACAGGAAGCAGCCTGGGATAGCCTGGGAAATGTAGCTGTGAAGTAATCCTTAGATGAGAAAGCCCTTACTGGCTTGAAATCCCTGGCTTGTATACCTCCAGTTCATACCCATTGAATCCATCTTCCAACCTTGAACATTCTCATATTCTTCTCTTTGGGAAACATCAGTATCTCCCCATTGCCCTCTGAATTAAGTCTATATTCTTTTAATGATATGGAGAGTGCTTTGGAGCCTGTTCCTTGCCTGTCTCCATGCATCTTGCCACTGCCCCACCACTACTTTAGCCTTCCCTCCAGCCACAAAAAGCCGCATGCAAACTGCTCTCCTGGCCTTGCCCCTAGGTTTTAACCTTTCTGTTCTCAGTCTAACTTTCACTTCCATCCAGAGGTGGGAGGGGCACCCTCTCTAGATACAACCACAGCAGCTGAGGCCATACCCCATGTGGCCTTTATAACCACTTCTAACAGTAAGCCTATTGATTTATGTATATTTATTTATTTTTAAAATTTATGCTGATCTTTTTTTCTGACCAGAGTCTGAGGTTCTGTGAGGTAGGAGCTGTTTCTCATTCAGTCAGTGCTGACTTCTAGGTGTGCAGCAGGGGGCCTGCTCCTAGTTGGTGCCTAATAAACATCTGTTAAAGGGAGGAAAGGAATAAAGGAAAAATAAAGGGAGGAGAGAAACTATAGGAGAAAATGACATTTTCTATTGTGTGTGGGTGAGAACTATCTCAGAAAGAGTCTGCGTGTACTCTCCAGTAATCATTCTAGAACACCCACCCCAGACCGTTGTCTGGTAAGGTCACATGCCTCAGCCAGCCCTGGTCATTAGCTGAGTTCCAAAATTTTAATGATCTATAACGTATGTTCTCTCCCCAGCCAGAAGGGATGAGGTGAGCTCTCCTCTTTCCTTAGCCAGGAGATTGTACAATGTTTAGGAGGGGCAGAGGTGGGATGGGGTGGGATATGATTAATGCTTTGTTCCCAGAATGCTTGGCTTAGAGGCTGTGTGAAGGGGGAAGGCAAGGGGAGGTGAGGAGATGGGGAGGGTAGAGTGGATGAGGCAAAAAAACATAACTGGTTATCCTTGCAAGTATTCTATGTTTCCCTCAGCCACCAAGCAGTTCTCTTGGGGGTTGGCCTTTCTGTGAAATGTTTTTTGTCAGCCTGAAGTATGAGTCTGTATCACCTTTGATCTTGGGTCAAATAATGATTTTTATTTCTAGATAAGTATTGAAGAGGGGGGAAATTACTCAGATGCTTACTATTGAGGTGTCGGGAGAGTCTCCTGAGAATGGCCCAGGCTGGGGCCCAAGGACAGCCCCCTTCTGAGGAGGTCACCCTCAGCAGCCTTTCTTTGAAAGGATTCTTGTGTGAGGTGTGAGCAGTGCAGCCTGGCAGCACTGAGTATTGCTGCTACCAGTACAAGGTAGTGCCCGTAACTAGCATGTGTGTAGTATGCTTAATGAATTCAGTGCAAATGAGTTACACTGTATTAGATGGGTATTATACTTTCAAGCACTGTGATAAGCATATTCAAGGATTAATATAATGAATTCTCAAACAACCTTATAATGTAGGCAATATTATCAGTACTGCTTAATAGATGAGGACATTGAACTGGGTTTTAGAGAGGCTTAAGTAACCTGACTAAGGCTACCTACTGAGCAAGTCCCTGAGCTGTGACTTTAGTCCATGCACTTGATCTCTGCTCCAAATCAACCTCTCTACATCCCAGGCACTTGGGGGTGCAAAGACAAGGTTTTCATGTTCATTTGGGTCTTCCAGGAAGCAGAAGTACAAGAGATTTATTGGTGGAAGTACCTACGAAGGATAAAGGGGACACGGAGCAGGAGAAGGTGGGAGACTTCAGACATGGTGCAGATCTGACACCTATAAAGGGCGAGAGAGAAGGAAGGACCATTTGTAGGAAAAGCCTGGTACTGGAGCACAGCTCAGGGAAAATCCCAGTCAGGCTGATGGGAAGCCCCCGTACAAACACTGCTCATTAGAAGAGACCCACATTGGTAGGAGTGGCAGCTCTGTACCCCTGTGCTCAGTCATAGAACCTGCCATGCTCTGAATCAGGGGCTGCTCAATCCAGTGTCCCTAGTACTAGAAGCAGCCTGGGGAGAGCATGCCTCAGCAATGGATCCTGAAGATGTAGCAGCTGGAGGCTTGAGCTGCTTGTTCCCACAGTGGCCACAGGCTCTCTCTTTGAGCAATTCATGACCCATTACTAATATACTGTAAAGTCTGGGCAGGATGTTATGAAAACCCCAAGGTGGGATATCCCCTGCAGGTTCCTGGGATAGAAACCATTTCCTGGTAGGATTGAGCAGGTTGTACACTGAAGGAAAGGATCCTGCCAATGGGGGGCTGGTTGGGGGGAGGAAGAATTGAAATACGGAAATGTGAGCTTTGCCATTTTGGCCCAGAGAGACATTGCTTTCTAACTCAGCCACTCAGAGAGAGATGTTTTTCTAACTTGCTATTATACTATGGTAAAACAACACTGTGTAGGACTGTAAAATCTGAGAAAATTTTGTTCTTTTAGCTGAAGCGAAGCTTACTTATGTACCTCCATTGAGAAACTGTTTGCCTACTGTCCACAGGTAGACAGAAGAGGTCTTTTTACTTCTTAAGAGAAAATAATGTTTTCAGGTGCTTATTTACCAGAGAGATAACTGGGGCAGGAGTAATAAGTCATCCTGGTCTCATCACTAATGTAGGACTCTTAAGGCTCTCCACAGGGCACTGCTTGATGAGTTGTATTTGCAGTTGATAGGTACTATAATTCTGGGTCATTACTAATTCTTTGTAATGAATCCAAATTAGTGTGGCTTAATTCAGAGGAAAGGGCACTAAGCTCAGGTCCTGTAGAAACTCTGCCCCCAGGCTCACAGCTCATTGCTCTGGACCAAGCTGGCCCCTCATTGGCCTGAGGCAAGTGCTGAACAGCCCCTGAGGCACCTCCCTTCCTTTGACAGAGGCTGAGGGGCAGGGTGATCAGTGGAGGGTGGTGAGGGAAGTTACAGAACCTGCTAACTTTTCTCGCTTTCTTTTTTAAACCAGGAATTATTAGCCGAGAAGATGCAGAAGATCTCCTTGAGAACATGACTGAGGGAGCATTTCTGGTCCGGATCAGTGAGAAAATCTGGGGATACACCCTGTCCTATCGCCTGCAGAAGGGGTTCAAGCACTTTCTTGTGGATGCCTCTGGGGATTTTTACAGCTTCCTGGGAGTGGACCCCAATCGCCATGCCACACTCACCGATCTCATTGATTTCCACAAGGTAGTGTTCTTAGAGGTGCTGGTCAAGGGGATGAGGATGGTAGAAACTTCAGATGAAGGGAGAGCCAGGCTGCAGGCCTTCTAATAGATGGGGATGGAGAGTGAGCACACAGGTCCCCAGGGATATGCAGCATTGGGATAGAAGGGACCAGAGGTTGTCTAGACCAGGCAATGTAGGTCTTCCCTCTGGCTTTCCCTCTGACCCATGTAGGCGCCTCAGGAGGCTCTCCAGCCCTTCTCTCACCTTGAGTACCTGAGGGCTCCCTACTGTCAGAACTTAGAGGCTGGTCAACCTGCCTTCTGTCCAAGACCAGTTCTCATTCCCAACTCATTCCCAGGATGTCTCACTTGGGGACAGTCTATAAAGGCCTCTTGCAGCTTTGTAGAGTTAGTTGAAACATAGCAAGCAAACCTGTGTTTAGAGAGGTTTTCCTTGTAGAGTTACCATGTCTCTTGTTCCAACTATAGCTTTACTCCTTTGTGTGTGTGTGACCTTGGGCAGATTCCTTAGTCTCACTGAGCTTTAGTTTCATAGCTGGGCAAATGGATGTTAATAATACTTAGCTTAGACCCTATGAGTATTAAATGAGGGAATGTATGTATTCAATAACAGCACTCTAACTGTGAAGTGGTATGGAAGTTCTTATCTCCCAGAACTCTTTTTGTTATTTGTTCCCCTGCTGTGGACCTCATGTTGAAAAAGATGCCTTCTAAATAATATATGTAGAAAGAAGCAATTTCTTTGTTAATGTGGCTGTTGGCATCAGTAGTAACTTGGAGAAAGACAGAAGTGGAACTCAGAAGGGCAGGGCCCAGGGATTCCGAGAAACAGAAATGTGGTAGCTCAGGTGTCCTCCATCTGCCTGAGCTTTGCAAGTGTAGAAAGGTCCACAGAATTACTTGACTGTCTCACTGGGATTTTGCTATAATAGGGACTCTTGGATTTGTATCACTTTTTCTTTATGGGTATCCACAGAACTCTAGGGACAACTCTTAACCTGATCTTTTAAGTACATAGAAAATCACCCACTTACAAATACCTAGGCACTTGGAGGAAAATACTTCCTGGAAAACTGGACTAACCAGGATCTAGGCAGATTGGGAAGAGCCTTCTAACAACTGTAGGAGAAAGAAAGGGAGGGGCTGTGTGGATATTGGCACCTTCTCTGTGTCAGGTGCTGTGCCTTTAGCTCTATGCCCATGTTCTCATTTAATTTTCACCATAGCTCTGTGAGGGAGGCATATTAGTCCCATTTCACAGATCAGGAAGGGAGATCAAGTAACTAGTTTAAGTTTTCATGGCTGGTACCAGCTGGGTCTCAGAGTTAAGCCTTAGGCTGTGTGCCTCTAAAGCTTGTGCTTTTCCCACCATACCACCCGACTTGCTTTTCCTATTCAAGATAAGCTGATTGAGCAGTGGTGAGCTCTGTGTCTTTGGAAGTATTCAATTAAAGAGTAAATGTTCGTCTTTCAGATATGCTGTAGACAGGTTCCTGAATAGGAAGTCTAAACCACATGTCTTTGAAAGTGTTTATTTTTTCCAAATATAAGGTTTGAGACTTCCAATTTAGTTTCTGACACTAAAGAGAGAACTCATTTGTGCCCATGTAGAGTTCTGGTGGCCAGTCTTATAAATTGAAAATTTAATTACACAATTAATTTATGATTAAATTCTAAGAAAAGTCAAATATAATACAAAGTGTAAGCACTGTTCATTTCAAATCCTGGTTTGCATCCTCCATCTTGAATTATCAGTGTGCCATGTACCTAACCAAAGTATTTCCTGGGCATTAACATAGAAATTTATGTACATAAGAAAATACATTGCATTTTATTTTTATGCAAATTAGATAATCCTTTACCAATAGCTCAGCAATTTTATTTATTTATTTTATTGTAATCATTGTTCAAGTATAATTTTCTGTCTTTTACTCCCATCCCAGCCCACCCACCCAGCCCTCCCCACCCCCCTTAGCTTTTTGTCCATGTGTCCTTTATACTTGTTCCTGCAAATCCTTCCCCCTTTCCCCTGAAATTCCCCTGAAATTCTCTCCCTTCTCCCTCTGGTCCCTGTCAGCCTGTTCTCTATTTCAGTGTATTTGGTTATATTTTGCTTGCTTGTTTGTTTTGTTGTTTAGTTTCCTGTTAAAGGTGAGATCCTATGGTATTTGCCTTTCACCGCCTGGCTTATTTCACTCAGCACAATGCTTTCTAGTTCCATCCACACTGTTGCAAAGGGTAGGAGCTCCTTCCTTCTTTCTGTTGCATAGAATTCCATTGCGTAAATGAATGGATCAAAAAACTATGGTACATTTACACAATGGAATTCTACACAGCAATTTGATTTTAAACATGCTTAATATATTGTAGAAGGTATTTTGTAGAGGTGTGGTCCCTGGAATCAGGCTGCCAAGTTTTAATCCCAACTTCATTACTGTGTGTGACTTTGGGCAACTACTCAGACTTTTGTGCCTTAGTTTCCTTCCCAGTAAGATGGGTGTGATAATAGCATTCACCTCTCAGGGTCACTGTGAGGTTTTGATGAGAGATCACTAAAATACCTGACATTTGTAAGTTATTAGGATGTTGGCTGTTATTGAGGTATATGCATGTCAATCCATGTACTGCATCCTTGTAAAAATCTGTGGGTCTCCATGGTATGGATGCATAATTTAGTTATCCATTCTCCCTATGAGGGCCACTTATGAGCTTCCAGGTTCTCCTGATCACAAACAGTGCTACAGAGACTTGCTTGCGTATGCCACTTTGGGCACATGTATGAGTATTTCTCTAGGATGAATCGCTTGAATTGGAATTGGGTAGAAGACTATGCCCATTTTAATTTGAAAATATCTGCCAGATTGCCCTGAAAAAAATCTACTGCCAATTCATGCTCCTGCCAAAAGTATATGAGGCTGCTTCCTCACACTCTTGCCAATACTGGAGCTTATCAGTCCCTTACAATTTTTCCCCCATCAGTTGGGCAGACGCCGAATCTCACTGTTGTTTAACTTGCATTTCTCTAATGCTGAGGCTCTTTTCATACGTTTAATGGCCACTTGGATTTCTCCTGTGAATTTTCTGTTCATATCCTTTGTCCATTTTTCCTTTTAAAAGCCTCTTCTTATTAATTGTCTCAATTCTTCCAGCGACTAAATTGCCCTGTAGTTATGTACATTTTGCTCTTCAGTTCTTCTATTGCAATTTTCCATGTAATTTAAGTGGGCATCTCTTTTATTTTCAGGTATTCTTTTTTTAAAAATTATAGCTCATTCTTGTTTCATGGATGATTTGTCTTCTTATTCCACTGAGGAGATTAGTATATATCTCTTAAAGGCTCTTTCTGTTTGTTTCACAAACTTGATATTTTCTTGCGAGTCAGTTCTGTTTTGAGGTTGGCACCCTTCTTTCATGGCTATGATTTTTCTTAAATATTTATAAATTTTGAGCTGGAAGGTGATCTTTCAACTTTCAATTTCTTGTTTATCCACCACAGATACAGTTTCTATTTCCTTGTCCAGTCTCTTTATGCTGTTAGTGTTGGAGCTGATAAGGAGTAGCTCATGTTTTGAGAATGGGAGTTTCTGAACTTTGTGGGTCTCTGTGTGCCTCTTCTGACCTTTTGCCTTGCCTGATACTAAGACCTCTGCTGTCTGGGGGTCCCCAACATGTCCTTGTCCCATATTAACTCCTCTGAAAATCTCACCCTGAATATCTTTTGGCTTTCAAGTACTCTTCAACATTTTTGCTTTGTTGATGGCTTTTCTTATTTTTCCATGCTCTTATAAATTTATTTATTTTTAAAAGCAGATTTTTTTCTGTGACTTCTAGAAATTTTAGTGAGGGGTAGGCAGATACATATTCTTAGTTTTTCTTTCTTGAACTGGTTTCTCTCTGGTGGATACTATTTCCTTTTCTTGATTATAAGTGGACATTTCCTTTTTTTTCCAGGAGGAAATTATCACTGTTTCAGGGGGAGAGTTGCTGCAGGAACCCTGTGGACAGAGGGACAGCCCACCAGACTACCATCTGTTGTTTGAATGACTTTTTTTTTTCATCAATTGGATTCTTTTGGGCATCCTTTTTTTTTTTTTTTTAACTCAAGAACATCTCAGCTCAAATCCTTATGGCCTCCTGGAAGATTCACCACTGTTCAGAGGATTAAATACATTTGAATATCTCAAGAGATATGAAATATATGGCATATGTGCTACTGGTCCTTGTCCCAGTGCCCAGGAAAGAAATTGCTAATTGTTGATGCAAATCTTTCACGAAGAATTTAGGTGTGACCTCAGAAGATGAAGCCTATTTGTCCCATCTGCTCTAGACTCAGCCCCTAGAGACCATGGATCATGATTTTATAATCCAAAGTAATTCCAGTGCCTAACTCTGAATTGAACAAATAGTGTCTATTCAATAAATGTTTGTTGAATGAATGTACGTCTTCTGAAAGTTTCCAACATTAATCCATGATTTCTAGTGAGTTATTTCCTACTTGTCACTGCTTATATAGTCATGGAGATTAGAGGGGAGATATTGCAAGAGATTTATGTGGAAAATATAGATGCTGCATCTTTAATAATGTTCATCATCACCCTCATTGACAGTGTCACTGGGATTACTATGGCTTCTGAGCCCCAGCTTCTAGAGCAGCTGACTGATACTGTTCTGCCTTCCTTTTTTGCCTCCTCTTCCACCAACCCTCCTCTGTCTGAAATCATACCTTGGCCCTTGTTTTGCAATATGGAGGCAGTGGTTTTACGAATTACTATAGATGTGCCCCAAACCTAGGGTGAATTTAAGAATGGTTTGTAGGCATCTGATAAGCCCTTTGTTCACTATTATTTGGACCTTTTCATACAGATTACTCAAGTGATTACCTGTGCCTTTATAGTCTGATTTTTCATTCTACTGCTCACTTAATTTGATTATGTCTTCCTGTTAAGAAAAGACTCTTCCAATAACTTCTCAGTAACTTTCAGGGGTGGTGTCTACTGTGCATACTTAGGTTTCACACTTATGGACTTATACATAGGGACAGCTTTGTATTTGGCCACAGTAAAAAGATGGATGAACTCTGTGTATGTCAGCTGCCTGGTTTACCTTACTTGATAGTTGTATCCAACATCTCTTATGCTCCACTTCATCTCCTGTCTCCTCTGTTCCTCACAGCCTTGACCTCAGGTGCCACCAGTGCACCCAGTTTTACATGGGCTCTGGTATTCCCCATTGTGTCCACAGCTTCATGTGAGCATGAGCCAATGGCACCTTGCCAAGTGTGGTACTCTGGCCTCTGCTGTTGCCACAGAGGCGTAGGACACCATGCAGCCAAGAAGATCTGGGAACTGAACTCCCCAGGCAGTGAACCTTTATCAATGGGAGACAGTGGCTGATAAACCAGTTCTTCTCCTTTTCTCCTGGAGGGACTTTTTAGAGAGGCAGTTCTGAACATATCCTCTTAGAAGACAGTCCTGTATGATCAAGCAGCAGGTCAGAATGAAACTAAACAGTAGTCAAGTCAGTCTTCCACTCTTCTGTTCTTCTTCTTTCCCTGCCTCACCCCACTTTCTCTTTCTCCTGCTTCCCTGGGATTGCACTCCTGAGTAAAGTAATGGCAGGTAAGCACTTACCTATGCCTCTTGGGAAGCCAGAATATTATTCTGGCTGTGCCTCTTGGGAAGCCAGAATAAGGACCCATCATACAAGTGTGTTTAATGATGTCAATTTTTCAGTCTGCCTCCATAGCTGCCCTCCTATCTGCCTGTCTCACAGGCCCCTGAGGATAAAATGCAGTATTAGACAGAACCTGCTTTCTGAACTCTAAAGTGCTTTAAAAACCATAACTGATACTGTTTTTTAAGCATTCTTTAATTTAATTATTGTTCAAGTACAATTTTCTGTCTTTTAGTCCCATCCCAGCCCACCCCCTGTGCTCCCTACCTCCCTCCCATTTCCACCCCCTTAGTTTTTGTCCACGTGTCCTTTATACTTACTTGTTCCTGTGAATCCTTCCCCTTTTCCCCTGAAATTCTCTCCCTTCTCCTACTGGTCCCGGTTAGCCTGTTTTCTATTTCAGTGTCTTTGGTTATATTTTGCTTGCTTGTTTGTTTTGTTGTTTAGCTTCCTGTTAAAGGTGAGGTCATGTGGTATTTGTCTTTCACCGCCTGGCTTATTTCACTCAGCATAATGCTTTCCAGTTCCATCCATGCTGTTGCAAAGGGTAGGAGCTCCTTCTTTCTTTCTTCTGCTAGAATTTCATTGTGTAAATGTACCATCGTTTTTTGATACATTCATTTACTGATGGGCACCTAGGTTGCTTCCAGCTCTTGGCTATTGTAAATTGTGCTGCTATGAACATTGGGGTGCATAGGTTCTTTTGGATTGGTGTTTCAGGGTTCTTAGGATATACTCCTAACAGTGGAATTGCTTGGTCAAAAGGCATATTCATTTTTAGTTTTCTTAGAAAAATTCCATACTGTTTTCCATAATGGTTGTACCAGTCTGCAATCCCACCAACAGTGAACTAGGGTCCCCTTTTCTCCATAACTTCAACATTTGTTGTTTGTTGCTTTGTTTATGATGGCCATTCTGACTGGTGTAAAGTGGTATCTCATTGTGGTTTTAATTTTCATCTCTCTGATATTGTTAAAATTACCTTCTTTCTGTTAGACTTGGAGGAACCAAATTTTAGCTTTGGCTACACTACTTACCTACTGACTGACTTTATTCAAGTCACTTAACCACATTAAAGCTCACTGTAACTGAGAAGAGAATTTTCTGTAGGGTCATTACTAAGTTCTTTGGCAGATCAGTTTAATGATAAGTATAAAATCTCTGTCCAAGTGAAAGGTATTTCTAATAGAAAATACCACAATAGCAACAATTATTTTGTGCTTAGCAGTGATGTGTCAAGGCGACAGGATGTGATGATTTTCCAGGTGTTAGAAGAAAGTTTTAATTCCAAGAACTAGCAGCAGCATTGGGAGCCGACTGAGATGGGTTGGGAACCTGAGTCCCTGAGCTGTTGTTTCTGTCACCCTAATTAATAGGTGAGCAACAACAGCTGAGGTGTCCGTGCCTAACATATTTATTTCACTTTATTTGGGGCCTGCACTTTCTGCACGTCTCATATATTTTGGGTTTTACCTGGCCTTAAATTTCTTATAAGTTGTCCTGCAAATGAAATTACTGTCTGGAAAACTGCAATTTCATCCTGAGAATTTTATTATGCTAATAAATGTCAGGATGCTCAAATAAAGGAATTGCCTTTTTTTACCCTGAGCCCTACAAATATAATAAAAAACAGCTATAAGACTCAGCAGAAGGAAAATTTACAATCTATAACTAGAAAAAGTTATAAAAAACACTACACAACTTAATGGAAGATATATTTCAAGGGATGAAAGAAGAACTTTGGGCACAGATTCAGGGAGATTGCTGGGTAGCAGATTTGGGGAGCTGTGCACTTGGGAGTGGGGGCTCTCAGGAGTGGTGAACCTTTATCAGTGGGAGACAGTGGCCAATAAATCAATTCTTCTCCCTTTCTCCTCCCAGAGGGACTTTTTTGAGACAGTTTTCGGCATAGCCTGGGAGAGTGAATCGTTAGAAGGGAGATGTGGATATGAAGGCCTGGGTGCCTGGGGACTGTGTCCCCCTTTCTACCCTTGAACCCTTTATTATCCTCAGCACTAAATTTGGAAACAGAAAGACTTTTCTTCTGCGACCTCAATTTTCTGGGCCACAGTTTCATCTGTGAAATGGGGTAAACAGTGCCTGCCTGAGAGCATGGCTGTGAAAATGACATAATGTGAGATTTTGTAATAGTAATGACAAATATTATTTCAGCTCTGTGTGTGTGTGTGTATGTATAAGTTTCACAACCATGCCAAAGGAGACAATGCTATCACCTCCATTTTGCACGAGGGGAGACTGCCACCCAGAGCAGCTCAGAACTTTTTCAGGGCCACTTCTCTGGTCACCGGGACTCGGCAGTCTGGCTTTGGAGTGAGTCTGTGTAAACCTTATCCCTGTCCTTCTCAAACCGGGATGTGCAGATCAAACATAAGGTGATGTTCTTAAAATGCAGATTCTTCTTCCACGGGTTTGGGGTGGGGCTTGAGTTTCGTATTCCTAAACAGTGGCTGGATGCTGCTGCCACAGCCGCTGGGCTGCCAGCCACACTTGGAGAAGCCAGCCTTGAAAGCAGGCCTCGGCGAATGGAGGCTGCCGTCCAAATGCAGCCTGCCCCTGCATTTCTGAGAGTCGTTTTCAAGTGATTGGAAGAAATTTAAAAGAAGAATACTATTCTATGACCTATGAAAATTATATTCCATTCAAATTTCAGTGCTCACAAATAAAGTTTTATTGGAACACAGCCACACTCATCTGATTACATGGTATCTTTGACAATGACCTGCAAAGTCTAAAATTTATTATCTGGCCTTTTACAGAAAAAATTACTGATGCCAACTTGAAATTATGATGCATAAATTAGAAATTATTTTGCTTTCTCTGCTTTTAAAAAATCTAGTCTTAGGAAAGATTCTAACATCATCATTTATACTTCAGAGACACCTAAGTAAATGTGTTACATTTTCTGTTAATGTTCCCATTTTAAATTTGAATCTCATCTATCTCTAGTAACCAAAAAGGAGGCTTGTTTCTTTGTCAAAGGATTTTAACCAAATGTAAGCAAGTACTGTCACAGATGTAGGTACTTTATATAGGCATAAAATCATTTGCTATCTAGAATGTATCACGCTTTCCTACACTTAACTGCATATATCTATTGCCCTTCAGTCTGTAAGGTCCTGGAGGTCAGACTGCCGTGTCTACCTCTGCGTTTTTCGGGGCCTGGAAGAGTCAGCGTTGTTGAATTGCATTTGTTAGGGACTGGGAACAAACACACCGCAGATTTCAGAGATCTGCTTTAACCTTTAGAGGAGCCCCGCAGTGGAGAGGCCCAGGCTGAACCTGCCACTTTCAGTTCCTAAGAAGAATAAACAGATGAACAAATAAACAAACAAATGAGATGGCAAAAGTCA